TGGTGAGTTTTAAAAAATAAGAAATTCAGAGGTATCATTACATTTATCTAGACGTTGCAGCAAAGTAATTCTTGACCCAAGAAAAATGAAATGAAATGGAAAAAAAGGGGGCCAAACGGGGCCGAGGGCTTTATCTCAAACATGACAATATTGCATTTTTAGTCATTTTCTTCTTCTCTGACTTTCTACATTTCTCAAAGCAACATGACATGCTTCTTTCCTTCATTCTCCACACAACCGCACAAAATCAAACCTATTTCTTTTTTCCCACAATTTTGCCTATATAGTGTTCAATTTCGCCAAATCTTTTCGGTGCTGACCATCCTAGAAGTTCTAACCCTCTATTTTTGTTTTATTTTATAGAGGTTTGAAGCTTCCATCATAGATCAAACGAAAAAATTAATGAAACAAGGTTTTCTGGTAAGTAAATATAGAGTTTTCTATGAATATAAGGTATGGTGGTTCGATTTTACTATATGGCTCTAGATCTGCAAGATTTTTTTTATTTGAGAGGGGTATTATCATTATGTTGTTTGTAAACTTAAAAAACATTGTGAGAATGCTCTAGGTGACTCTCGAGCCTGTTCTTTCTAAAATTTAGAAAAAAGACAAAAAAATTTCATTTTGTAACGTAAGTTCGTACCAGAACGGAGATGAGGACGAATCAAACATCAATGGAACCAATATTTTCTATGGAACTTGCGGTCATGGGCTAGTAAGAATTTTTTTGATCATAGGTAATCCATTATGATTTAATTCATTCGTTTTTAACCAAATATTTGAATCACCAGAATGGGTTTTCTATTGAATTTTTGTTTGGTCAGTGTTTTTTTTTGGATGAATGGTTAGGATTGGTTGGGACCCTTGGTTTATGGGGTCCACATATAAATGGTCTCACTGGAACATCGATTTAGAATGATGATGAGTCGATGGCCAATGATCGGAGCAATGAGAATGGCGAAGGTGATGGCGTTGAGGTCTGTGCGCTTGATAATTGGGGAATGGGTCGGAATTCCATTCCCATCAAAAAGTTATAAGCTGCTTAATTTTGTAATTGGATTCTCATTATCGCTTAAATTGTAGATAATTGTCATTTAAATTTGATGGTTTTTTTACAGCGTCTATTCAGCAGTATATGAGATGATAATTTAACCTTGAAGATTTCAAAATAACTTGAAAATGAAGGTTTTAAATTTATTGATTGCTCTTTTTTAAGGTTTATCAATTGTCAAAAAAATAATGAATGTTGATAAATTTCGAGCAAAAAAATTAATAAGACGTTAAAAACATTGAATTTTTTTTTATATTTGACAAGTATGCCAAATAATATTGGGCATCATATTTATGTGAACTTGTTCAGCTTCTAAAAGCTAATTGTTGTATTATACTTAGCCTTGTAATTTTTTATAACTTAAAATATAAATAAGATTTTAATCGTTCCCAAACGATTAATGATTTTATTTTGTTTTACTAGGCAAGACTTGAATTATGGCAAAAGATGCAATAGCTCTAATGGATCACTTGGGTTGTAAAAAAGCCTATATTTTTGCCCTTCAATTGGTGAGTTCTGACTTTGAATTTCTGTTTCGCATTTGTGACTTCTTCATTTCCTAAGAACTTGTATACTTATCGAACTTAATGATATTCATTCGACGTTAATTTTTTGCTCATTACATATTCACTGCTTACTTAAAGAGACTACTGCAGAAAATAAGTACTGTTGGACTCCCAATACGTTGAAATGTTCCCACTTTCATATGAGTAGATATGTAATTAATGGGAAATAGAGCATTGTAGTATATTTGAATGCTCATCAATTGCAAAGTTGTGCGGTGGAGCGCTATTTGAACCGAGCAACTTAAACTTTTGCTCCTTTATGTATTTTATATTCTTGTTAATAATTTCATTAGCATTGTGGGAGTGAAAAACATTAAAGTGCTAACTACTAGAGTATCCCGAGCAAAAAGTCAATTTTTTCTGTGTCTTAGAAGATTTATTTAAAATGTGAGTAATAGAAAAACACCATGACAGTCAACGTGATAATTCAACCAAATAAAACTTTTTGATCCAGAATTTGATTTCTCTTTTAAATCGGGCCCCTAAAATGCTTCTCATAGACTCGACAAAAAGTGGACCAAGGATTTAGAGTTGTATCATAAGTTAAGTTCACACATGAGTACATGATCATATTTGACAGAGTCAAGTTCACACTGCAGCAATCAATTTTGCTTTCATCACTATGAATGGAAATGGGATTGAACCTTTACATTCATGCAATATGATTAAATTTCCAAATGAAATGGTTATTGCTCATGATAATGAAACCACTTCCGTAAGAAAGTTGATAGATGTTGTGTTCCCTAAATTAAATACTTACCCAGATAATAT